AATAATTAGAGCTGATGATTTCAATGATCCTATACATCTGGAAAAAATGTCAACCTTAAATACATTTACTGTCAGAGATTTGGGTGCATTTTCTAATGAAAGTCTTACAAAAGATTATACGTCAAAACATTATGGAACTAATGAATGGTAATTAATTATTTATTTTAATCTTTGAATGATTAGGAATTAGTTTAGAAAAAAATGTTTTAGGTATTCAAAATGGCTTCCTGATAATGTTGTTGGACGCCATGATACTAAGACTACTTACCAAGTAGAAATTCGTTATGCCAATAACACAAATGAAACACATACATTCCATGGTCCACCAGGTAATTTTTAATATTTTTAACGATTTTATTCAAAAAGTTTTGTAATATTTCAATGTTAATATAATATTTTTTGTGCATTAGGGGCTGATGATATTCCTGGTCCGATCAAATGGACAAGACCATATTTTGATTGTGGACGTAGTAACAAATGGTTAGTAGCAGCTGTTGTACCAATTGCTGACATATATCCTCGACATACTGGATTTCGACATATTGAATACCCTACGTAAGTTCTTTTTTGAAACTATTATGAATTATTATACTAATATCTAATGATATGTTAATAATTTAGTTATACAGCTGTATCAGTAATAGAAATGGATTTTGAGCGAATAGATATTAATCAATGTCCTATAAGTGCAGGAAATTCTGGTCCTAATCGTTTTGCAGATACAGCAAAATGTAAAGAAGAAACTACACTAGTAAGTAATCTGTAAACATAGTTCAGAATTAATTATAATAACATCTATTTATATATTTATAGTGTGAACCATTGGATGGATGGGGTTTTCGGCGAGGTGGTTATCAATGTCGATGTTTACCAGGTTACCGATTAGGAAATACAGTTCGTCGTCCATTCCTTGGAGAAATTATAGAACGAGCAACACTTGAACAATATTATAGTGGAGTATTTGACTGTAAACGGATTGGATGTATGTTATTTTAATGTGAATTTAAAACCAAATACATTTTCATTTATAATTTTTTTTTTCATTTAGGGCTTCAAAGCAAAATTGTTTTCCCGAGTCAAATGGATCCATATCTTCGTGAACAATATCTAGAAAAAAATTCTGAGTACAAAAACTTCACACCAGGGTTAGGATCTTTAAAAGATTCACGTATCAATATCCATGAAGTTATTAATTCCATACGAGGAGTAAATCCAAATAATTGCCATAAGTAAGCCATTTCATAAAATATCTAAATAGATTTAATTTAATTTTTGAATTTTTAGTTATCGTAAGGAAGACTTACAACTTTTAGGTGACTATGGATTTGGAGCACATCAGCAATTTGCCAATGAAGCTAAAATGGCTGTTCGCCTTGCTAACTTTATTAGTGCATTTTTACAAGTAATTATTTTTGTATTTTTAAAACATTTCTTGTACATATTTATATTTTATTTTATTTTATTCATACAATTAATATCTTTTTCAGATATCTGATCCAAAAGAGGTTTACTCTGGTACACGAGTGGCTGACAAGCATTTATCTGAAGATCAAATGATTGGAGAAGCATTGTCCATTGTAATGGCAGATTTTAAAATATGGTCAGCTGGTATATTTTGGGATATAAATAAATTTCCTAACCGTACTCTTTTTGCTCCATACGCTTATAAAACAGTAAATTATGGTCGTAAAGTCTTTGTAGAAGATTTAGCCAGATTAAACAAGTCTGGTAAGTTATTTCATGCATAATTTAATTTGATATTATTGTAATGATTATTTAAATTTTTAGATGAAGTATATACAAATAAAGAATGGTTTACTTTCACAAAACAGCGATGGTCAACTAATTTTGATAATTTAGAAAAGTTTTATGTCAAGTTGAAATTAAGATATACCGAAGAAGGAGGTCATTTGAACAAATTTGAATACTATCCTACCTTTTACAAGTATAAACTTTAACTAATTACAAGTAAAAATATTATTTTATTAATATAAAATTGAAATACAAATTTAGAGCTGCAAATTTGGATCATGGTTATTGGTCAACTCCTTATTATGATTGTAATGGTCCTGCAAAAGATTGGTTTATCCGTTACGCTGTTCCATTCTTTGGCTGGGATAGTCTTAAAGTCAAGTTGGAATTTAAGTAAGTTCTATTTGAATTCAGTTTTAACATGTTAATTATATTCCAGTAATTGACGTGTGTTGCTTATTACTTAAAAGAATTTTACACCTATATATGTTGTCTTGGTTTTACAAACATAAAATAGCAAATTTGGGTTCAGTATAATAAAATAAATGATGTATGTGTTATTAGCTTTAATATTAGAGTTAATTAACTTATTATCTATGTTGAACTTTATCTGTTCTAAAACATTGGTTATTTTCTTCAATATTTTAATTCTTAAACTATATTTGCATTTTTTACTTGAAATATTTACATTACTGTATTACTATGTATATAAGATGGAGACAACACAAGCAAATATAGCACCCATGTAAATACTGTAAAATAATGTCTGAATGGTTTTCTTTTCACGTGTTTTTTTTTTTTATTGTACTACATTTTATTTTTATTTATCATAGCATACTTTTAAGTAAAATTTAAAATGTTGAGATTACTTTTAATAAAATTTATATTTTATTTTCAGAGGAGCAATTACAGTTACTATGCCACTTTTGAATTTGGACATAAATCAGTGTCCACAAAAATTTTATGATCCGAACGCATTTAAAGGAACACATAAATGTGATCAACGCAGTTCTTATGTATGAAAATATATTAACTTTTATTTTTATTATTTATAGTCCAAAAATTGCAAGTATTCATATAAAATTGAGTGTTTTCCGTTTTTTGTTTTTATTATAAATTTCTAATCAACTATAAATTGACTTTATACATGATAAGTTATGACTAATGTCCAATTGTCATACATTTATTGTACTATTATCATATTTTATGATGATAACAATATTTTAATGTCAAAAATGTTATTTATATGTATTATAAATATTCGTGATTCTGTAAATATATTTTTAAACAATCAAAATTAACATAAACTAATTTTAAAATTTTGAATTTTGAAACGTCTTTTATTCAAAATGTCAATATTTTTAGCTTAAATTTCTAAAGTATTTTTAAATGACAATTAACCATTTTAAACTAAATACTAGAAAAATAAATATCAGTTATAATATGAATAATTTAATTTATTTCTATTATTATAATATTTAACTTAACAAAAATCATGTTTCAGTGTGTACCAATACAAGGGCGTGGTTACGACACTGGTGGTTACAAATGCGAATGTATACAAGGTTATGAATTTCCATTTGAAGAAGAAGATTTCACTTATTTTGATGGCCAAATGATGGAAGATGAATTTATGCACATGTTACATAACAATAAAACTAGGTATTAATATTTTTTATCTTCAATTAGTTGATTAAAAAAAGTATTCTCAATTTCTTATTATTTTTTATAGGTATGATACTTTCAAATGTCGTATAGCTGGAGCTGCACTTCCTCTTAGTAATGTTTTTTACGTTATGGTATTAGTTGTATGCAGTTTATTAATGTGGGCTAATAATTAGCTAGTATTCAAATTTGACTGATGTGTTCTATCAAAAATATATTATTTAGTTATATTATAAGTTAAATTGATAATTACAAATAACCTAAAGTTATAGCCTTTCGAATATTTTATTTTTAATTTTAATCAATTTTTGCTGAATCTCTTTTTTTAAACTCATCAATTAATTTAACATTAATATTTTGAATAGAACTAAGTTTTTATACATATCTAATATTTTTAAAGTATGGTATATCATGTATTTTTATTTTTATTTGTATTTTTTTTAAATGAATCTTTTACTTTATTTTTAGCTATTTTTATCATATTCTGTAATTGACAGATGCAGTGCATGTGTTAAGTTCAAACTTATTCCGTCCATTAAATGTGATCAAATAGTAATTTTAACTATGTAATTGTTAATAATTAAGTTTTTAATTTTTATATAAAACTTTGATTTATAATATTGAAAACGCATCAGTATTTTATTCTTTGTGAAATAATATTATAATAAAATTACCATTTTTATGATTAATATTTTATTTTTATTTGTGTAAACATTTTTGTAATGTACGATCTACCATATAATATATTTTACAAACTATATGAAACAGTTATTATATAATAAAGTAGTATAACATTAAAAACAATGTTGTAAAATAAATTAAGTCTAGAATAAAATTTTTAAACAGCACAATTCTAATTTTTAATTTTTTAAATTAGCCATAGTGATTTATTTGTGTTAATGCTACACTGTAGATAACATATTCCACGAATGTCATTTTATTAATCAGCATAATTGAGTAACAAATATTATTATAGTACTGCCTAGATAGAAGATACAAATTAATAGAGTATAATTTATTCTATTAGTATTAATAATTGTACCCTAATATTTATACTATTAATTGATTAAAATATAATTTATGAACAATAATTATTTATTAATTAATATCTATTATTTTATTTTCAAGATCATACATAATACAAATATTGTTTCTTGTTTTTGTTTACTTCTATGAAATGTTGATAATAAATTAGTCCTTGGGATTAATAACCATCACATTATATATATTATTAACTGACCATAACATCACAGATATCTTTATGAAAATATTCATAAGATATTTAATGTTGTAAAGTTTAAATGCTAGTGAAAAAATATTATACTAATTAGTAACTGTTAGATAACATAAGAGATATGTCTTAATTAACTTATATTGTGAATTTTTTCATTTTCCTCTGAGATTATGTGAATAATAATTATAATTTATTATCATAAAGATATATATAGATGTATAGATGATATAAAAAAAACAATTTTAAAACTAGGTGTGCAGTTATAAGTTACAGTTATATTTTATTAAAAATAAATAACAGTATTATAAAGAAAAAAAAAACTTTACAACAACACATAAAATTAAAGTATACACGTTCAATTTATAATCGTTATAAACAGCCAAGTATATCTCATTACACAAAAATGAGCAAATAATATAAATACGTATACTAAAGTTATTGTCAACATTTGTTTACAATAATGACGAGTGGATATCAATATGTCACAATTAATATGCATTTCTATAAATGCATGTTACAGAAACCAATTACAAAATTTTGATTTAAAAATTAAATTACAAAGTATACCAAAAGAAAAAAAAATAATGGAATATTTAAGCTATTTCGTTTTTTTTCTCATTTTTATTCGATAAATAATTATAATTAATGAATCTTGAAAGTTGGATCACTTGAGCTACTTCATTTGTTGCATGACAAGCGAACAAAAGCATATTACGTGGTTGAACTTTCCACGCAAATCTCATGAATGCCATCGAGTATAAACATAATGCTGTAAGAGACATCATAAATTATTAGATTATTATAAATAAAATACAAAATTGAATTAAGAATAAATTTATTACCTCCAGTCATTTTACCACTAATTAATTCAGGATCCTTATTTACATCTGATAGTGCTGCTATTGGTATACCCCAATTTGCTATTGGACCCCAAAAATGAGTACTATAATAATAATAGATAGCATACTTATATTTCAATTGTACTTAAAACAAATTAAAAACAATTAAATAATTTTTACCTCATTAAATATGAACGAAATTCTTTACTTTTGAGTTGTTCAAACAATTTCTTACCCATGGAAGCCATATTATTTTGTACTTAATTTAAAAAAATATAATAAATTTAAAATTTAGTACTCAATAATCTAATATTCTGAAGGTTAGACTAATGAGCGTTTAGTAAAACTAATAACATTCAATTAAAAAAAAAAATTATTGGAAGTTCTAGAGGTCAACGTTTGGTTTCAGATTTTAGACCTATAGAATAAAAACTGAAAACAATTTTTTTCTGTTATACAATGATAAGACTTATGAAGAAGATTATATTTGCTACTTGATGGTTAGTGATAACAAATATATTGGTATTAACGATTGTGTTACACAATTTACTCCATGATACGCATAAAAAAATCGTCACAAATCAAAAATCTTATCAACTGAGCGAACTACAAATTTTTATAAGGCCATTAACTAAGATTATTATTATTATTTGTTGATTGTTCCTGTATAAGGCAATTACTATGTAATTAGGCATTTGCACAATAATGAACATTTTTTCTATTGTGTTCATGTCATTAATATGCAGTATTATTTTATTTTGTGTACAATTAATAATTAATATTTATTTATTTTATTATTTTTCTACAAAAATTCATTAGATATTCATTGAATATAATATGACGTACATTGATTTTACAATTTTGTTTTTTTTTTGTATCAGCATTAATTTTAGAATATATTTTCTAAAATCAATAGTATTAGTATAGACAAAAATGTTTTAATTTTCAAAAAATTCTTGATTTTTTTTCAATGGACGTTGATTGAAATTTATATGCTCAGCTTAAGTGTTTTATTTAAAATTTTCTAATTGTGATACAAAGTTCCTGATAAATTCTTTTTTCTGTAATTATCAAAAAAAAAAAATCAACATTAAACTAACATTTTTATGAATGTTTTAAGTAAGAATTCATAGGATTACTAATAAATTGAAAACAATTATAAACTTCAAAGATTAGGTTTAAATAGCTCAATAAGAGTGAAATTTTTTTTTTAAAATTTACCATATGTTTAGAATGAATATTTTAAACAATTAATAGAAAATTTAAACACAGAAATTTTGTGGAAATGTCAAGTATTTATTCTGTTATTGGTTGTTTGAATTAAGGGGATGGAAACAGTGATATCTTTGTCTAATACACCAGTGGCGTAAATTGGGCTAAATTGTTAGGGTTACAATACGTTTCAAGGTTGAATAGACTTTTATGGGGCTTAGCTTCCCCCCTAAAATTTTTTATCCTAAATTTAACATTACAAGTACATAAACTCAACGAAATTATTTTGACCTTAAACACTTATTGTATCTATTGGTAATTGGTGCCTATGTATAAAGAATATGCACTATAAAATGGGGTATATAATTACATAGGTACCGTCAACAAAATATGAATTATTTTCTTAAACAATATAATATGAATACATAAAATACAACAATTATTTTATTTTATAAAATTTATATTTTAAATAACAACTGTCATTTAGATTTTTATAATTTGTACAATTTATATTTGTAAGGAATAGATACTGTTTCTTAATATATATATATATATATACCTGTACAATATATATTAAAATACTCGTTGGTTTTTTACTGCAGAAATAATATAATTTACTGTAGTAGTAATTGGCGGCCTCTACATTCTGCGGCAGCACTGAATTTTTCTATTACTTTATCTTTATCTATTAGAGATGATCTTTCACGTTCAATTTGCAAGATTCCAAGACTGTTTAATCTTGACTGTCCCATTGTGGTTCTTAAATATGTTTTTAATCTATGTTAACAAGAAAAACTTCTTTCACATGATGCAGAGTTAGTTGGTATAGTAATAAATAATTGTATCAAACTTGTCAATGTTGGGAATCCAGCTTTATAATTTTCTGATGCAATGAAATTTATTTTTGATTGCACATTATTTTGATTATGAACAGTTTTATACATTCTATTTAAAATGTTTGTTTCTGCTTTGAGATTATCCTCATCAAAACCATACATTTTATTTATTTCTTTAAAAGAATTATCATTTGGCATATCATTTAAGAGTATATCTTGCATACAGTTTAAAACATATAAATTATTTTCTTCAAACCTTTCACTCATGTCATTTATAATATTATCTAGTACAGCAAAATAAATATTTATTTTATAATGTTTATTTTTGTTTTACACCTATTTTTGGATAATTAACCATCCCAATTATAATTTAAATTTATTTAAACAAAATTAAGCTTTATAAGAGATATATTATTATTTGTTTGTAATTGAATGTTTAAAATTCTATGTAGAGTTTAACAGTCAACTTCCCCACGAGAGTGGCGCCTTTTATACATACATTAAATACTATTGATAATAGCAGAAGCCATTATAAGAATGCTTGATCTCCAATTTTGTATGCTTTATCATTATGGTTAAATGCTGAGGAATTTAAACATGAAAATACTAACATACCTAAAGAATTGCAAGATAAATTTTACTTAATATTTGGTAAATTTAATTTCTTTTATATTTTTACAATTTCATGTTCTAAAATTATAAATATATACTTATGACTTAATTAATTATATTATTTCTAGGAATTTGTACTGAAGCAATATGTAATCAACGGACTTTGGAAAATTTAGAAAATTTTATTACTTGTCTTAAATCATTATATACAATATTAGATTCTTCCTTAGCTAGACGAATGATGATGAAAAATTGTATTTTAGCAGTGGAAACACTAAATATTATGCACAAGTAATATTTATTTGTTTATTTTATTATTTTTGTATTAATCTAATTCAATTAAAATCTTATAATATTCGTTATTTTAGATTACTTTTAACGAATAATAGTATATAGAAGTACAACAAACTATAATGAATATTGTGAAACAAATAATAAAAGCTGCTCAAGAAGATTTAAAAATAAAAAATTCAAGTACTTCTAACGGTATTAAAAAATTACTAATTCTAAATATTTTCTAAAATATTTAGTTCTAAAAATTTCTAAATCAGTTTACTTATTTTTTAAATATTCAAGCATATTTTAGTATATACTATCAAATACACAGACCTGTAGTGCAGTATGACTAAACATATATTAGTGTTTTAATTTTATAAGATATATTTTTAAATTAAAAAAAAATAATTTATAAGCTCTGTTTCAAAGTAGTACATGATTATGATTCATTTTTTAGTCAACATTTTAAAATTTAAACTATATCAAACATCATTTTGTTTGAAAAATGTTTGATTAATATTATTATGCAATTGTATTTAAATTGCAATCGTATCATCATGGTTTTATTTTTTTATTTCTTTTTGTGTATTTGCGTAACTTTGATGTTATTATGAATTTATATTATTATAGATTATTTATTTAATTTCGTTTCAGTGCCATCAATCGAAATCCAGAAATTACTATAAATTAATTCGGAGTACTTGCAATGCATTACACTGAACCGGCCAACTTTCTGCACTTGGAAGTTCAACTTCTGAACTTGATAGTTTTGATCGGAGTATTCCTCACGATGGTCGTATATGTTGGATTTTATGCCTTTATATACAAACAGTCTGATTGCGATCGACGACAAGATTATGGCATAGAAATGACTGAATCCAACGAAATCACCAATAACACCTGCAACCGTCGTCGTTGGTTTCAACCTTTTTGTCATTAACAATTCCGATGATCAAATGACCGAGTGGATGGGAGATTGGATATTGCGGTTTGTACTTCAGCGTCAGACATTTCTTCAGACGACGAGATGACGAGCCTCATGTAGAAATGTAAACACTGAACTAAAAACCGGTATCCGATCCCCCATCCACTATTAGATCATCGGAATAGTTGAAACAACGAAAGGGTGAAATCAACAACAAGGCATTAGGTCATTGGCGATTTCGTTGACTGCCGTCTGCCACGGATTCAATCATTTTTGTAATGAATCCGACCAATGATTACAGGTAAAAATAAGTTTTATCAAGTATTTAAGTTTAAGTTTTATATGTTTTATAGTATTTGAAAAAGAAATTATAAAAATCTGCAGTTTCGCTATTATGCATAATCGCTTTTTTTTTAAAATTCGCTATTATCATAACTTACGAAAGGATCAATTGGATTCTTTTTCTATACTTAAGTTGAAAATCGAAACACAAGACAAATCGTGTATACTCCCATAAATAATTACGTCCTTCAAAGTGATAACTACGAATAACCATGATTTACACATAAAAGTAGTTATGCTTATGTACATTTAGTTGCCTGTTTAAAACCCCTTTTAATTATGATTTAGGTAATCTAAATCTAAATGTAAAAAAGATTTATTTATATTAAAAGTTACCACTGTTACCAGTTATTATTTAAATAGATCTACGTAAGTAATTTTGACTTGCCTTAATTAATTGGCCTATTTTTACTGCCTTGTGTAAGAATAAATAAAAAATATTGAACTATAAAATTTATAATTAAAAAAAAAATTTAATAAAGCTTATTATTTAAATTTATTTTTCATGAAATTTTTTTTTATTTAGTATTTATTGTTCTAACTATGAATTAACATGTCTGCATAATAAAAAAGTTATTAAAATTGATTGTATAATGCAAATAATTTCTCCAGTGCAGATAAAACTTCGGATCGAGCAAAATATTTCTGACCGTCAAACAATGACGATGTATTCATCTTTTAAAGTTTACATATAGCACCTAAATGTATATTGTGTGCTGCATGAATAAGATGTGTTTTATTTACCACATTAATGGTAATTATATTTTATTATAACCATGGTGGTATGGTATAGATTTTCATGTGTTTAGCAGTAATTCAAAACGAACTTTCCTTGGGGGAAGAAACAGGGGCTAGTCAGATTTCTACTTCGGTTCTTATTTTTTTTTTTTTTTAATACAATTTAGGTTACTCGTTAATGGAATTAAATTAAATTCTTTGGACTTCATGTAAAAAAAATTGACAAAGGCTTCATTCCATCAAAAGGTTGGCTCTGTGTCTAGTCTTAAGTCTTTTAAAGTAATGTTATAAACATTTTTAATCGTAAATAGTTATAAGAAAGAACACGTGTTTATATTAGTGTAATAACAAAATTAATAAAAAACTACAAATTATTAAAAACTACACATGGGTTAGATTTATTGCCATTGCTTACTTCCATAATTATTTGTAATGTTGGATGTTGAAATTTATAATGCAACATTTTATTAAAAGATAAAAATATATAAACTTAAGTTTGAAAAATTGTCATGTTTATTATTCAGTCATTTTCATTGTATTAAACTTTAACATACCTACTCAGTACCCATTACAGTGACCCGACAGTTGTATCAATTACAATGAAGACTTATGACTCATGAGTCATGAGTAACACATAACTCTTATTTTAAAACTAAAAATCAAAACTTCTTTGGGTATTTAAAACTGCTTATTTTAATTACAAATTAAATGTGTTTTACTTAAAACTTATAAGAGCTTTAAAAATGTAATTTAAAAAATCTTATTTATTTGTAATATTGACGATAACATTTTGAAAATCAATTAAAAAACATGTGTTAACTCCAATCATGGTGACATGCCATCCAGTATTTATCAAACAAAATTATACTCTAGTAGAAATTAATTTTTATTTAATAATGTTTCATGTCTTAAGAAATTTATACTATAAACAATAGAATATAAATATATCATATGAATAGGTACTTGTATTAAATTTTATATTTTTAATACAAAATTAATAATAAATAAAAATAGAATATACATTTTGTTTTTAATGTACTTATAATAAATATAATTGTATTATAATTTAACTTATTTTACTTGTATTGAAAAATAATATTTTGATAGACAATAATAATAATGATAATAATAATAAATAAACACATTTATTATAAAATTTAAAAATGTTATTAAAAGGTACCTAATATATCTACAAGCTAATACAATTGTATATATAAATAAATAATTTTATACATTAAAGTAAAGACATTTTTGAAGGAACAATACGTGTATATACATAAGTTGAAAATTGTATACAGTACTTAAACAAACAATAGTTATAATACAATGAAATTTTCATTTTTGTGCTAATGGATTCCCTGGATATTTATTTAAAAGCTGAAAAAAATAATAATTTAGCTTAGTGTGTATGAAATAAGACATTAAATATTATATATTTCACTTACAATTTCAATATGTTTTCTCAACTCTGTTGGAGTCACTTGGTGCAATAAATGTTCTTGTTCAAAAAAAGAAAAATCATCTTCTAATTTTGAAGATGAGTTACTATTATTATTAGAGTTTTTTCTTTGATATTTAATATCATTAGTTAATTTCTGAAATATCATAAGAATTTAAATAAATTATAATCCATTACTAAATAGAATACATATTAATACTAATCTTTAAATATAATAATATAAAACACATTATAATATAAGCAAATAAAATCAGGTATTTGCTTACTGAATTTGATTGGCTATCAATGTTTACATTTTTTACCACTCCCATTACACTTTTAACTAATTGTCGCTTTTCTTGAACTTCAGCTTCTAAACGTTTTTCTAATGCAGAAATACACTCTAATTTATCTTTTATAAGTTCCTCAAAACGTTCCAATTCTTCCCTATGTTTTAAATTTAGTTGTGCCTTTTCTTTTTCATACCTAAATATCAAATAAATTTTTGAATTTTTTTTTTTTAAAAGGAATTCTGAAGTGTTTTAAACCTTTCTTTATAATTAATTATTTGGTTATTCATTTGAAGTTTTATCAATTTATTTTCCTCATTAGTAATTTGAACAATTCCATCTAATTTACGTTGATAATCTGATACTTTTTCTGCCAGCATAGCATCTAATTGTTTTTGATAAAAGCTTTTTAAATCGTTTTTAACAGTTTTAATTTCTTCTTTTGCTGCATTAAGTTCCTCTGCAGTTTGTGCCTAGATAACAACATTTATAAATTAACAATAAAATTTATTAATAAAACCATTTAAATATTTTTACTAAATCCTATATACTATCAAGATAATCTAAATACCTCAGTATTTTTCATTTGATCTACAATGTCTTCAATTCTGCGCTTTTGATCTAAAAGCTGATCATATTTTAAAGTTTTTTCACATAGTGCTTTTTTTTCTTGATTTAATACTAATACTTCTTTCTCTAACTCACTACACTTATTTATTGATCTATTGCACTTTTCACTTATCTGAAAAATTTAACATTTAATTTTATACTTAATATTATTTTTAAAATATCACAGTAGAAATGTCTACTGAATTTGACTCACACTTTTATTTTTTTCTTGTAATTTAACCAATTCATTTTTAAGTCTTTCATTTTCTTCATTTTTTTTTTCTATACTTAGTTGTAATTGTTTTGTTTGTTCTTCTACTTTTTGGCAATTAATTAATAACTCATTTAATTTTTTTTCAGCATTTTCTGTTCGAGCTTTGTAAGAATTACTTCGAGAAATAGCTTTAGCTGTATCATTTTTATAATGTTCAATTTTTTCCTTCATTGCTTCCAAAATTTCCTTTTTATTCTTGCGCTCAGATTGTAAATCTCTGTTGATTTTTTCATTAATTGTACTGTATGCTCTAACTTGACTTAAAATCATAGCAGACCGTGCAGCAAGATCATCAAGAAGATTATTTTTCTGGCAATCTACTTCTTTATATTCAACCATTCTTTTTTCATAATTTGTTAACTTTTCTTCTAAATCAATAACTTTTTTTTCTATATTCTGTAACATTCGATAATTATCAAAAAATGTAATGTTAAATTATTTATTTAAATATTGTTATATCATTTTGTATATTTTAAAATGTTTAAGTAGAGTAACAAAAAATAAATAATATTTACTTGTCTACGATAAATTTCTTTTCCGAGTTTCAACCACAAATTTTCTTTTGAAACAGAATCCAATTTTTGATAATCATTTAAAGCTGTAGTTACACGTGGGGTTACATTTTCCAAGTCGTCACATAAACTTAAATAAAGAAATGTATTATATACATAGAATAAAAAAAATAACAAATTAATTAAGTACCTTTGTAATTTGTTATCATCTAATACATTGCAAACAGTTTTTTTGGTTTTAACAGGAGAAGATCTTACATCTTTTTCTTGAAAACTAACATTACGCTGAGCATGACCATTACCTACATTTCTTAGTAACTTATCATTGTACTCGTAAGTATTTACCATTTCATGCATCAGGGAATCAATCGAACTATAGTTTATTTTTCTTTCAGCATTTCGTTTAAGAGGTGAGGAAGCACTAAGAGGACTGGACAAACCATTGCTGATGTAGCTAGTCTCCATTTGTTCAATTTCATTAATTTGATGTGATAAAGTATCTAAGTTTGTCACTAAATTGTCAATTACGCCTTTGAAACTATTTGAGCTGATCGATAACTCTTCAGTGCCCGCGTCTTCAACTGTTTCACTATCTGAAGAGTGGACTTGAAAGAAATCTGACGGTAATGACACTAAGAAGTCAGTATTTTCACTACAAGAGTCGCTCATAATTGATAATTTTGTAGCGATAAGTCTATTGTCATAATTATTTAAAAATAGAACTTTCAAAGTGAAAACATTTTGAAATCATTATATTATACTTATTATCCTATAACTCCTAAATCCCAATAATTTACTGTTACCGCTTATCATTAGTTTTTTTGTTTTTTTTTGTTTACATCGTCACACACGATAAACTAAAAATGAAGCATTTCCGTGATAACGTGTTCAAACCATTGTGAAATGTAAATTTTGTGAGTATTTGAGTTCCATATTATTATTTTGTAAATATTTGAAATAGTTGAATAAACCTTATTATTATTGCATTTAATTAAAATACTATGGCTAGTAAATTTGAAAGGTTAGTATTATGGTTAATATAATTGTTTTGAAATATGAAAATCTAATATATTTAGTTTTAGTTCGAAAACTGTGAATGAAGACGAGAACACTACATCCAAAGATATGACACTTGCTGACAAATTAATTAATGTTAGTATAAAGTAAAATCATTTAATTAAAGACTCATAATTTATGTGATATATTATTGAAAACATTTGAATTATTATTATTTTATTGAAATAATTTCAATACATGTTAACACATCTGATTGTGCCATAACATGTGTATTGAATATGGGTAAAATATTAAAAATAAGATTTAGTTAATTAATTAGTGATGCATATAGTTTTGTTATTTTCTTTTATTTAATAATGCAGATTTGTACAAGATAGTATATTAAAGTAATTTCTCTTTTGACTTAAGTGTATATAACTTTACCGATCAACCAAAATAAAAATTAGATTTTCTACATTTATGTAGATAATTAGTTATTTATGATATTAACTCATTTTGCTTGAAGTTGTAGTTAAGTATATTTAGAGTAAGATTAATAACACTAACAACTTATTTAGATTTTTTAATAAATTGATAAGATTATGTAAAAAGTGTCACAGTAAAATATTTATTTGTTTTGTATTTAACTGGTTTGAGGATTTAAATTAAGATTTATCATATTTTGAAAAGTGTCAAATTATAAAAATATAAAAGAAGATATATCTACAGTTATAACCTAAAAGGCTAAAAGGTAATTTGGTTAAAAAATACTCATTAATAATGTCAAACCAATTAAGTTTTATATAATTTTATTAGAAATAAATATATTTTTATCTAGATTTTCCAAAAAATATTTTACTCAATAATTATAATTATTAAATGTAATTTCTAATAAAAAATAATATCTGGGTTCTAAACATAATATGAACAATCTAACTTTTTATTTAAAAGAAATTATTAGTTATATATTTTTTTTAGTCATTAATATAGGAAATTATTAGTTATGCATTTAATAATAAGGTAAATATTTTGAATTATATTTTAGTTGTTTATTTAAACTAATATTCTATATAATTGATAGTATGATAGTATAGTAGGTACTGAATTTGAATTATGTACTAATATGATTTAAATTTAATCTAACAAAGTTATTAGTTATATTTATTAATGTATGAAAACAACAATTTAAAAATAACCTATAAATTATTAGTTCCGAGATGAAATTTAACTAAATAGTAAGCCACTTAATAATTTTTATTTAATTAAAATAATAATATTATTAATTTATTTGAAAAAATTTTAAATGAGTAAAGTGAAAAATAATATAAAAAATATAACAAAAATAATTAATATCAATCTTGTTTTAATATTTTTTAAATGTTGTTTAGATACCATTGTCAATACCTTCTGGAGATCATAAACTTCAACATCAATATTGGTTTTGGTTTAGTCGTAGATTTCCTGGTAAGCCAGGAAACACCCCTAGTTATGACCAAAATCTTAAATATCTAGCTAGGTTTGGTTCAGTCGAACAATTTTGGACAATATATAGCCATATGGTAAGGCCATGTGCCTTGCAATCACACAGTGAATTTCATTTATTTAAAGTTGGAATCAAACCAATGTGGGAGGTAAAATATTGGTCACATTCAACTAACTTATGGAAAAAAACTTAAGGTAATTTTTTACTTTATTTTCTGTTTTAGGATGAATCAAATGCTAGAGGTGGAAAATGGGTTTTACGAATACGTAAAGGTCTAGCATCCAGGTGCTGGGAGAATCTCATTTTAGCAATGTTAGGAGAACAGTTTATGGTCGGTGATGAGATATGTGGAGCTGTTGTTTCATTGAGATTTCAAGTAAGTTACATTTATTCTATTAAATTTCTTTGTTTATTTTATTATTACATTTTTATTTTTAGGAAGATATAATATCGATTTGGAACAAGACTTCTTATGATCAAGGGGCTACTAACAGAATAAGAGATACACTACGCAGAGTATTAAATTTGCCACCCAATACTATTCTAGAATACAAAACACATAATGAAAGTATCAAATCGGTATCTAGTGTTTATAAGATGTAAATTACACTGAATAAAAACAACACAATTTTTTCATAAAAAAAAATCTTTATTGAAAAAAAGTTAATTAAATATTAATTAAATATAAAAAAAAAATACAATTTATTATTTACAATTTTTTATTTTTTTTTTTTACAAAACCCAATTATCCAATGTTTGATATTACATTTTTAAAATATCCATAAAAAAATATTGTGGCAGTGTTTATCCAAAACAAAAAAAATATTTAATAGTCTTAATATATTTATGTATTAATAAGTGCAAATTGTATGGCATTGAAATTCTTAAAGGTCGGTAATAAATGATAATTTTTTAAAACATACAGATCTTAAAACTATAATCAATAATAAATTATTGCAAAAAGTTCAAAAGTATAGCATGAATATAGTAGATTAATCTATTAAATAGCTTAGATTAATATTTAAAAATAAATTAATATCTAATAACTAATAATAGAAACATACATATTGGATACAAAATAGTTTCAAACAATCGTAATAAGCGGATTCTGATGTAACAATATCCTTGTGCATTATTGATGTTGTAATATTGTTATTGTGGTCATACCTAAAATAATAAATATTATATTAATTGCATTAATGACCAATAACAGTGCTACTTAAATTATAGTCAATTATAATATACATTCTTACCCAAAACAAAAGCTAAAGCTAATTTTAAATTGAAAGAAATACGAAATTTCAGAATGTCTGAATCTTCTGATGATGGTAAAAGTAATCCACAAATACATACACCAGCCATTAATAGAGTTGTAAAATTTGGTCCTGGAGTTTCTAAAATATTTTCAAAAAAATAACAAATACTTTTCATTAATTTATAATTTAATCATACTATGTAATGATATTAAATATAAATAAGGTGATATAACAATTTATATTTAAATTCTATTTGATGTGTATAGTTGAGAAATTAATTATAATATTTAAATGTATTTTTGATGTTCTGTAATTATAATACAATTTTTTAAAAAAAATATGCCAAAATTGATTAACAGAAATTTTAAAGGAATTTATTAAACCCCAAAATAATTTATTTCTATTAATTTTTAGAAGTTAAATAGGTACTGAAATACCTTTTCAAAAAAAATTTATAAATTTCAATCAATTTTTATTACCAGTATTTTAACGATATATTGACATAAAGTTGAAAAATATTGTAGATTAAATTATTTATTTACTTTTAGGTTACATTTAATATTCAAATCATAATGTTGTACTAAAATATAAAGGATTATTACAGTTTTAAATTCAAATTTAATATAACTTACTTGTATTGCAGTTTTGTCTTATTTCAGATTCATTATCATAGTTATCAATAGATATATCACTTCTAAGTAATTGTTTAAAATTTTCAGCTGGTAGCTCAAAATTGTCGGAAGACCTTACTAAAACTGTTTCAACATCTTTGTGTCCAATGACTTTTTTGGTTGTATAATATTGCATTTGTATTCGGAATTTATCTCTGATATCGCAGAATGCTGGTGCAGGAGCATTGTGCCTAACCACTATATCCACTCGAGAACTGGCACTTATTGAACCTTCTGGTTCAACTACAGTATACTTTTTAGTGCACGTACAAAAAACTGAACAAACAATGTCATAAAAATACTATTAGAAATAAATAAAGGAGTATTGAATTTACCTTTAAATCTGACAGGAAAATCGTATGGATTAAATAGTGTAATTATTTGCCTGTGAGATGACTTGTCCTCCAAACTGAAAGTTAATGATTGGGGACTAACAAATACAGGGACTTTACATTCGGTCATCATGACTATTTATAACAATAGGCATCTCATATTTTGCATTGTACCTTGATTGACGATTGTTAAGGTATTACGTTCTTACTTTAATAAACTGTGATGTAATTTCGATGAAATTAATTACATACGCAACTCTTGTTACTACCTATATAGTATAATATAATACCTACAAAGCACAATGCTGAATGTACAATACTACAAACATTTGTTTTTGTTATTTTTATCTCTTATCTCTTATCATTTTATTTTACATATGTTTTTCGCTGTATTATTATCAAATTCATATTTACTTGTATTTCTTCAACTATCAAGAGTCAAGACTCAAGTCCAAATAACAAATGTCAAATACTTGAAATACTCTAAATATTAAATAAGGAGTAAGAAATAAGAATACACGATCTTATTATTAAGTACAGGTCAATGTACTATTTCCAAATTTTAAGTTATAATCCATGAAACAAATACTTCTAGAAGTAATTATATCATGTTATATACGATTGTTTTAATTCATAATATATATATATATTAATCGAAGGGATTTGAAGTATTTCACCGCTATGTTCCATTATTTTCTAGGCAATACACACACAGCATACCTACTATATATACAATAGCATTTTCAAAATATTTGGATTAATTTTGAAGGTTTAATCCATTTACACTAAGAACATAATTACATTATTCTACAGTGAATACATCGGTATTGTCTTATAGTTTATAGCCGTAAAGGTTAGATTATTTAATTTTTTTTTCGGTTGAATTTACTTATATTATTTTTTTTATAGATATATAAGGTGTTACCTACTAATAATTATTTTATTATTATATATTTTAATTTATATTAAAATATATATTACATGATATATTATTGATGTTAAATCTTTTCCTCATTGACTTACTGTAGAATGTAGATAATAGATATAGAAGTCGTTGAACGGTGTGAAGTGAACTATATAGGTTCGTGGTAAAAATCATAAACCTTTATGGCTTTGTATAAATGGTATAAATAGGTAACAGTAACAATTAATTCAAATATTTTAAAGTCATTATTTATATAAAATTTAATAATTTAAGCTGGTACATAAAAGTTTCAATTCTCCCGAATAAGTACCTAATATATTTGAATTGCAATAAAATAACTATAATGTTATTCTTTATTTTATTTAATAAATAAATAAATTCTATAATATTATTTTTACATCTAATTTCGTCTGTATTTTTATTGAAAATGTTGAAAAAAAAAAAAAATAAATATTGTATACATAATAAGTTATAATATATAAGGATTTTATAACAGAGGTCACCAATTTATTTATATAGGGGTCCGTTTTGAAATTTACCAAATTTTCTGCGGTCCAAACAGTTTCAATAACTTTTAAAACGTTAATAATTAGAGGTATATACATTTTATAAATGTGTATCTATACTCATTTATTTATTCAAATTGTATTTTACACATGTTAATGAATTATTTAAATAATTTTTTTATTATGTAATATCAATTTTATATGACACATTTATTATAGTTTCTATTATTATACAAATTTAAAAACTACTCCGTGGATCACACTATGCGTTTTGTCGGCAACCGAAAAATACTATCCCGATTAACCGCAATCGGGACGATCGATCATACAGTGCGTTTTATCGGTAACCAAATACATACAAATGAGATTAAAAAGCCCGAAAATCGTTTTTAATTTAAATTTAAATTTTAAACTGATTTTTTATTTAAACGAAATGTATCTAATATTATAAGTAAAAAAATAACAAAAAGGTTGTGTAATTAGAATTATTTTGTTTTTATTTAGAACGTGTATCAACTAATTATGCTAATAAATAATAATATACATCTATAATATAAATAAAATATAATATATATTATATATATATATATATGTATATTACAAATATATTTGAAGTTTTTTAATTATTTAAATTTAAAAATGATTATTAATTATTCATAAAATTTTCAATTTCGGTTACCGATAATCCGCGCAAATGTGATCGGACAAACTGCATTGCATGTGTTGTGCTTTACATCCCGAAACGCAACCGGACGGTTGGGCCGCAACACGTTGCGGTCGCTTTCAGACGGTTTTTATTTTTTAATCGGTTCCGCAAATCGGTCTAGTCTGGCCCTTGATAATGCGTTTTATATTTAAATCTATTTTATTTTAAAGTGTTGCGGTTCGACTCCGGTTGGTCGGGAACCGACAAAACGCATAGTGTGATCCTAGCCTAAGGGTCCATGGTTCATAAAAAGTATTAGCGATCCGTATCCGGACTGCAGTCTGCCAGTTGGTGTCGTTGGTGACCCCTGCTCAATAATATAGCTCTTTAATGACTTTAATATAACTATATACTATATAGTATATTATTATCGGTCAAATTGTATTCGAAACATTTTACATTCGGAGTAATATGTTCGAAGTGTTATAGTGGTAGTAGTGGCAGTTGTAGCAACCCACTTTAGTCCGTAAATATTAGTTTATAATGTATATATATATATATATATATATATATATTATGTATATGCCGATAGCTGCTAAACAGTAAACACTATCAGTTTGAGTTTGAACTTTGAAAACGCTGTTTTAATTTTTTTAACATTTCAAGTTGTAAACATTTAATTTATGTATATTCATCGTAAACAACAAATCATTTGTTAAATTGCCGGCATTTTGTTCGATTATTGTTTATCAGTTCTTACTGCCTGGGAATCGATTGAACTGACAATACCGACGTCTTAGCCAATAAAAAATTGTTGCATTTCCTGAAAACAATTAGAAAGCGTCCAAGGTTCAGAAATGAAGAAAAAGGTGTTGTTGATGGGCAAGAGCGGTTCCGGGAAAACAAGTATGAGATCAATAATTTTTGCCAACTACATAGCCAAAGACACTAGCCGTTTGGGTGCGACAATTGATGTTGAACATTCTCATGTTAGATTTCTTGGGAACCTAGTGCTTAACTTATGGGATTGCGGAGGACAAGAAGCATTTATGGAAAACTATTTTGTTAGTCAGCGAGAGAACATTTTTCGCAATGTAGAAGTGCTCATTTATGTATTTGATGTGGAAAGTCGAGATGAGGAACTGAAAAGGGATTTAAGATACTATGAGACTTGCCTTAGTGCAATTTATGAAAATTCTCCATCTGCTAAGGTATTTTGTCTAATACATAAAATGGATTTATTACAAGAGGATCAACGAGACAAGATATTTTCTGACCGTGAAAATGAAATAATTAACATGTCCAAACCAGTTGATTGTTCTTGTTTCAAGACATCAATTTGGGATGAAACATTATATAGAGCTTGGTCTTCAATTGTGTATAAATTAATACCAAATGTGAAGGAACTCGAACAAAGCTTGACATTGTTTGCTGATCTAATGGATGGTGATGAAGTATTGTTGTTTGAAAGGGCAACTTTTCTTGTTATTTCTCATTGTCAGCGAAATCTACAACGTGATATTCATCGATTTGAAAAAGTTTCTAACATCATTAAACAGTTTAAACTTAGTTGTAGTAAAGTAGCAGCTCAATTCCAAAGCATGGAAGTAAGAAATTCTAATTTTGCAGCTTTCATAGATGTATTTACAACAAATACATATATTATGGTTATCATGTCTGATCCTCATATTCCTTCAGCTGCCACTTTATTGAACATTAAAAATGCTCGGAAACATTTTGAAAAATTAGAACGTACAAGCCAATCTCAGCAGAATAATAAATAGTTATAATTGAATAAGGGTAATTAGAAGACAAAGAAGTCTTAGTTTGACAAAAATATCAATTTGTGTATATTATTTAGTTTAGTGTTTGTGTACTATTGTACACATAATAAAATTACTATTTGTTAAGTTATACCTATTATTATATTTTATTTGAATACCGAAAATTATATTAATTTTTATATTTTCCTCATAGTTATTATTGAATAATTGTCATGAATTTATTTTTATTGAAACAGATTAAAAATAAAATGAAAAAATATTTTTCCTACATTGTGTTATTTATAATATTTTACAAACCTTTCTTCTCTAGTTATAAATTCATGTTCTACAAAAATATAAAGTTATTTTAATAACTGAAAATCACAACAATTTACAAACTTAATATGTACAAATGATACTTTAGATTTAAATATTATTTAGTGGAATTAAATGTAAATTAATCAATTATTCCTTTATAAAACATTCATTTCTAATTTTTTATTAAAAATAAAATGTATACAACTAATTTTGAAAATTACCAGTAAAAAACATTTATGTTTATCAAATATCTAATTTATTAATTTACAACAAATTCATAACTTGTAGAAAAACCATAATTATATTTATCTTTGTTAATAACTATTTTTATATAAATATATTATTTGTTTTACTTGACCTATTATTATAAATGTATTTACAATTTTATTGAGCCAATTATTAATAAGTAATTAACATAATACTTAACCAATTTTTTTTTGTTAGAATATATATATTTTCACCTAAGTAAAAATAAAACTTGAATTTAAAGATTATACATACTCAAGTAAGTACTAATTTCCATTTAGACTATGAAGAAAAAAACTTGGTATTATAGACAGAAAATCACCACTTTTAATTTCATTAATAGATATTAAATAAGTTCTTTTATAGAGATTTGAGTCAATATTATACTTAATAGTAAATGGTAATAACTGATAACTTATTATATAATAAAATACAATAAAAAAAAAATAAAAAAAATATAATCTAAATTAAATAGATTTAAAAAAATAAGTTATTTAGATTTCAATTTAAGAATAACAAAATACAATGAAACCTGTATATTATATTATATTATATTGTTCATTATGAACAATCACAGAATCATCAGAAATTTTTGTTGTTAATAAGTTTTAATACTTTTCAGTCAAACTCACATAATATATGTATTTATTTTACAAAGAAAAATCTATATTTAATACTTATTACTTTTAGTTTATAATTAGACATACATTATATATATTCATAATTATACACAATGGTATCATTTCTGTTAGTAATGTAGGACTATAGAAGTACCTAAATACTCAGTTTTAATCTGGTCCTTGTTGTGATTGGCGATGCTATGACTCAGTATGTAAAAAATATGTGTGCATGTAATTATATTTCAGCTAGAACGCCTAGAACTAAGATTGTTTTCAATTGTCATTTGTCAAGGTATCAGGAAGAAATAAAGCTATCCATTTCAGCAATAGAAAGGATCTGTTATAGATAGTTTGAAATATCTATCTATTTGCCAGGGCATAATCATTTTGTTGAGAGAGGTGCCCATAAAATGCAGATATTCATTAAATCAAGTTTCACTGTGTTCTTATTTTTATTTTATACCTACAATATCATATTCCAAACTCAAGAAGAGGTCACACCAATCGTAATTTATCCACAAAATTGATTTTGTTTTGACAAAGATATGTTTTTGGGAAGGATATAACTTTTTTTTTCTAACCAATTACAGATGACCAATTTTACTTAAACATATTTATTGAAATAAGTTATTATAATTACTGAATTCCTATCATTCTTGAAAATGCTTACTAACCTAACCATATTTGTGATTCTTCAATTTTCCTCGCAGAGGAAAATGTTTGATAGTACTACAATCGGTAAATGTTAGTTGCGTCCCGATAATAACATATGTAAGTTGCAGCCCATGTTTCTGTCATGTATCATCATATATATTATCATTCAAATTTGTACCTTATTCAAGTCTATAAGTTATCAGTTATAATAAATAAATAAGGATATAAATAAATACTAATTTTAATTATAAACATATTAAATGTATATAGAACACAAATTACGTTTTCAATTTTTTAATTATTTAATCAGTAATAATTTTAACTATTTCATAATGCAATAATACTTTTTTCTAAAACATCAGTCAATTCTTTATTTATTATCAGTATATTCAACGTTTGAAAAATATTGATCAAAATTGATTTCAATAAACCTGAAAACAAAAATTATTTATAAAATGTAACTTTATTATTTTAAAATGTTGCTTAGACTAAACTGAATTTAAAGATAACCACCAATAAATAACCTGAATAATATTTGTATAAACATAGGCTATTGATTATTATTTCTTAAAAATATTGTTTTACCAGTAAATAATTTGTGAGTAAATATACAAAGTGTTCAGAGACAATATTTTGAAATAAAATGTTGAATGACTAAATAGTTCAAATACTAAAGTATTCTTTTTTTTATCTTATAAGAGAATGTTTTTAAATTTATCATAATTATAAATTAATACTTACTTCATAAAATCTTCAAACTTTTCAATAGCATTAGCTATATCAGTCTCAATATAATGATATGATGATACAATTTCAGGTAATAAAACTGAAAAACAAAATACATAATTTACAAAATATGTTATCTAATATGAATAGTATGTGACCCTTAACATATTTTTTGTCATTTTTTATTACAGTTACTACATTAAAACATTTTTATCTAAGTATTATTTGGGAAGAATGAAACAAAGAAAATCAAGTTTAAATTAAGTTTATGAAACAGCATCTGCATCTGATCAAAACAAAAATAAATATGAATGTATAATTATCAAGAATAGGTCAATACTAGAACTGATATTTGATATAAGTAATAATGGTTTTTTTTTGTAATCAATATTTGAAGCGATACTGTAAAAAGAAAAACCTACATTACATCAAAATATGTATTTGTAATTATTATTTAATATTTATTTAAATTTAAATTGTATTTACCTCAAACATATTTTATTTTATTATTTCTATATGTTTATTGTTTAACTGATATATATATATATATATTATTAACTGTTAAAAATCAACAGTAAATTATTATATATTAAGAAATCAAGTATCAGTGAAAAATTATATTGAGTCATCTTTATTTATCATAGTTTATTGCCTAAAATATTGCGTGTCAACTAATTTGATGACCCTTTTTAAAAATTTAAAAAATTCTCACATCCACAAATTAAAAGTTTATATATTCAATTCAATGTGTGGAGGAATATTATAAATCTATTTTATTTTTGTAATTACATTACTTTATAATTTATACATTATAATCTACATGCTAATCAGTAGTTTTTGATGACTTTTAACGACGAACAATTTTTTTATTTTTGAACAATTGCATATATCACTAAAAAAGGTTCACCATCTCTGGTACAGACCAATGCAATTATGTTATCTATGCATGACTATGGTAGTGGAATATTAGTTAGTTAATAATAGTTATTATCTGTGATTTATATGTAAAATTATTTATTATAATCTTTAAAGTAAAGCTAATAAGTGTTAATACAAACCAAATAATCGTAGTAGATATGTAGGTCCATACACCAAATGCCACATTTTTTGAGGATACAACATTTTACTAAAATGGTATTCTTCGCCAAAATTAGTATTGGCTTCCAAAGATTTTATTGCCTATGACATACACATAAGTATAATAATTATTATTATAAGTATTAACACAATTACATGTATATCCAATCAATGTGCTATGATACATATTACATTTTGATTATGTGTATTGTTAATAATACATTTATTTGATACTAATATTGTTTCAAAACATCAAATAATTGTATAGGTGTTTTAGTAATTAATTTTAAATACATTTTTAAATTCAAACAATAGATATTTATTTTAAAAATTAAGACATCTTTGACATAAACTCTTTAACACATAAAATGTATTATAAATCATTTTTTACTGATAACATAAAACAGATAGTTTATAATTATAAAAAGGTGGAAAGTAATTAACTACTTTTTTAAACAGTAGGTGTTAAGTGTACTCCATAAATAAATAAGTCACTGTAATGAGTGTTTTTAGTTTGAATTAAAAGATAAATAGTATAGAATAAAATATTAACAAAAACAGAATATCAATTAATATTATGATTTATAAGTATATATAATATAATTATTTATTTATATTAATAATGCAGTTAATTATTTTATTATTAGTTATTTGGTAGGTTGAATTAGAAATTGTCAAAAACATGGTATTTATTATATTTAACTAAAATTGATTGTAATAATATATATATATATATAGATATATCATTAATTGTTATTAACTTATTAGTCAATAACACTTTATTATAAAATAATATGAATAGATTTGTGCCGTCTATGATATAAAACTTAGGTAACACCTTAAAAATAATCTAAATACTTTCAAATTGTCTTTATTTATAAAAAAATATATTACATTTAAACATATATGTGCTAATATAAATACAAAAAAATTGTATGTTCTCAGGAATAATATTTTAGAATTACAATAAAGTAATTAAAGTTGTGATTGTTTAATTATCCAATTTTGTTAAATTTGAAATTAATATCTATAAAAAAATATTGTGCTTAAAAATATTTTGGGTTCAGAATAAACTATGTATGAAGAACCTTGTATTAAATTTTCAAACTTTTTGACCGATATAAAATATTTTTATTTTTAAATAAAAAGCTGAAATTTCAGATGTCTATAAATGGCTAAAAAAAAAAAAAAATTAAAATATTTTTAAAATTTATAACATGTATAGAAAATACTATACATATTAAGATTTGGTGAAAATTTTAATTATCTACAGTAATTTGTTTATGCATTACAAAAAAATAGATTAAGCAAATTTGGCTTAACATTTTAGTTTTCAGTTTTTTCCTAATTACTAAGAAAAGTACAGGAATATTTTTATTTTTGATCTCTAAAGTATATAACATAAATCAGTTATATTCTAAAATAATCAATTTTTTACATTGTTACATTAATCATTTACTTTATATATCAATGTTTTAAAAATTTAATTTTTTTGATATAAAAACAAAATATACATAAATAAAATATTTCATATCTTGTATGATAAGGAGATCAAGAAAAATTCAAAAACTATAATAACATTTTTGGGCCTTCCGTGTAAGCAATATGTTAGTATGTTATGATCATGGGCACCCATTGGGGGGGGGCAAGACAGGGCACTTGCCCCCCCTGGAAAAAATATTACCACAATATTACCTTATTACCGAGGCAAATTATTTGTTGAAATCACTTTTAAGATATGAAATAAATATAAAAATATACTCATTGTTATCGTATATTAACATCATAGATAGGTCGTATTCTGTAGTCTGTATAACCTATACGTAAAATAATTTATCGCAGATAATTTGTGGTAAATCTATAAAGATCACAATATAGGTACTACAAATATTTTAACCTAACGCAAACAAGGGTACTTTCATTCAGGATGTCATTAATATGTTTGGAATAAAACGAAGAAATTTACAGTTCTTATTTACTGATACCGAATAATATACTTAATTATATTATTTAATTTCTATTTTTTTATATACTTATTAAAATTATTATTTATTTATTTATTTATTTATTCGTATGGCAATTATTATTTATTAATTTATTTATTCATATGACAATTATTATATATTTATTTATTTATTCGTATGGCAATTATTATATTAATACACTATATATACAAATAAAAATATAACATGCATGTATAGTGTATACATTTATATGTGAAAAATAACATTAAATCTTTATTATCTTACATTCGAAAATTTTTTTATTTTGACCCCCCCTAAAATATTATCTATGGGCGCCCATGGTTATGATATGCTTTTAAGAAACACTTTTATGCAGAAATATTATTCAAGTTTAAACTGTTTTTATTTGGATTTTTTATTACCTTTTCACGCATATTCATTTTTGTTTCTGGTGGATACAATAATCGTGAATGTATAAGAACATTGAAATACTGTATAATTGTTGAACCAATATTGAATGCCGACTCCCTAAAATAATAATAGAAAGTATTAATAACATTATACTGAAAAAAATTTAGTAAATAATTGTATAGTTACTTAGATTCAGGTAGTGAATTCATAAAATCTTGTATCAAATTTTCGATAGTGAATGTTTTTGAAAATGTTAATACCTAAAAACAAGCCAACACTCTAACAAAATTATTCAATTTGTATTTTAATAAATTAATACATACTTTATTGTTTTTCATAATCATAAAATGATCAAAAGCAATTCTTCGTTTTATAACATCTGGTATATTGATTACTGGTATTATTTTTATTACTGGAGCTGGAACAGTAAATGTATCATCTGTCTCTTCAGTTCCTACACGTTTTGAAAAAGCTTCAGTAAACTGTAGTAAATAAGCATTAGTTTCTTCGTCCTCTTCAGACTCTTCTTCTGTTTCAGACTCTTCATCTGTATCAGTTTCTTCAAATTCTTCAGTTTCTTCAAATTCTTCATTTTCTTCAAATTCTTCGGTTTCATCATAGGCGTCAAGTTCCTCAGCTTCAAACTCTTCAGCTTCAAGATCTTCATCTTCATATCTTTCAATCAATTCAAATTCTTCGATACTTTCAGTTTCTTCAATGTCTTCAATTCCTTCAACTGTTTCAGATCCTTCATCTTCTTTAATTGTTTCAGTTCCTTCTTCAACATCTTCAGATGATTCAACAGATTTAGTTTCTTCATATTCTTCAGTAGTTTTTTCTATTTCTTCAGGTACTGCTTTAATTTCTTCATCAACTGTTTTAGTAGTTTCTTCTTTTTCTTCTTCTTCATCTTCTTCTTCTTTTTCTTCTTCTTCTTTTTCTTCTTCTACTCCTCCTTCTTCAGTATCTTTAACTAATTTAATAGCTTCAATATCTTCATTTGCTTCAGTTATTTCAGTATCTAAAACTTCTTTAGTCGTTTCAATTTTTTCAGTTGTTTCATCAATTATTTTAGTTACTCCAACTTTTTTAGGAACATCTTCTTTTTTTGGAGTATCATCTTTGTTAGGAATATCTTCTTCTATGGCAGTATCATCTAAGTTAGGAATGTCTTCATTTTTAGGAGTATCTTCATTTGTAGGAATATATTCTTTCTTAGGAGAGTATTCTTTTAATTCTTTTATAGGAGTATCTTCTTTCACAGGAGTGTTTTCTTTTTTAGGGGTACATTCTTTTTTTGGAGTATCTTCTGTCTTAGGAGTGTCTTCTATGTTATGAGTACCTTCTTTTTGAGGAGTATCTTCTTTTTGAGGAGTATCTTCTTTTTGAGGAGT